AAAATCAAACATTTCCTCTACTTTGAGCTCCATTTCTAGGTTCTTTTCATAGTAAAATCAATCAAAATCACCTCTATTTCTATAATATGTTTTCCATTCTATAAAATGAGACCAAGAAAACGAGAATACAACCATAAATACTATACGAAAATAGACCACAAAGTCGGCATTTTAATTAAAAAAAAAACGGTCGGAGTTTTTTTTTTTCTCATTATGCACTGTGTGCTCCAGGAATTTTTTTATATGGTGCACACTGACCACACAGACCCATTCTCTCACATGTGGGCCTACCAGCTTTCTCCTGCTTGATTTGAAGCCGCTAGAATTTATGAGTATATATACGTCAAACACGGTACCTCGTAAGACGTATATATACGGCCGCGACAGTCAAAGGGTTAAAAATAGGAGAGGAGAGTTAGTACATGGAGAGTTAGAGGTATTGGGAAGATGGAGGAAATATTCTGAGGAGCTGTTAAATGTTTATGAAGTTAGGGAAGCTGTGATTTCATGTATAGGGCAAGGAGGAATAACATCTTGTGGGAGTGAGGAAGAGTCAGTTGTGAGTGAAGGGAAATTTCATGAGGCAGTGGGTAGAATGAAAGGGGTAAGGCAGCTTGGAATGATGGAATAAATATAGAAATGTTAAAAGCAGGTGGGGATATAGTTTTTGAGTGGTTGGTGCTTTTATTAAATAAATGTATGGAAGAGGGTAAGGTACCTTGGGATTGGCAGAGGGCATGCATAGTTCCTTTGTATACATGTATAGGCAAAGGGGACTAAAGAGAGTGCAAAAATTATAGGGAAATAAGTCTGTTGAGTATACTTGATAGAGTGTATATTAATTATTGAAAGAAGAGTAACATGGAGAGAAGGATACCAGATGAACAGGGAGGCTTTAGGAAAGGTAGGGGGTGTGTAGACCAAATGTTTACAGTGAAACATACAGGTGAACAGTATTTAGATAAGGGTAAAGAGGTTTTTGTGGCACTTATGGATTTGGGAAAGGCGTATGACAAGGTGAATTGGGAGGCAATGCAGCAGATGCTGCAAATGTATGGAATAGGAGGTGGGTTATTGAAAGCAGTGAAGAGTTTTTAGGAGGATAGTGAAGCTCAGGTTAGAGTATGTAGGAGAGAGGGAGATTATTTCCCAGTAAAAGCAGGCCTTAGACAAGGATATGTGATGTCACCATGATTGTTCAATATATTTATAGATGGGGTTGTAAGAGAAGTGAATGCACGGGTGTTGACAAGAGGTGTGGGGTTAAAAGATAACGAATGTAACACAAAATGGGAGTTGTGACAGTTGCTCTTCATTGTTGACACTGTGCTTTTGGGAGATTCTGAAGAGAAGTTGCAGAGGTTGGTGGATGAGTTTGGTAGGGTATGTACAAGAAGAAAATTAAAAGTGAATATTGGAAAGGGTAAAGTGATGAGGATAACAAAAAACTAAGGTAACAAAAGACTAGATATTAGATTGGAGGGAGAGTATCCTGTGTGACATCAACACACCCAATGTTGGGGCTGCTGAGCCAGCCTCATTCAGTGTTCACCATGGCTTCACTAAGTCACCTGATGGATTACACCAGCTGGACAGTTTCCTGCTGGCTTGATGGATTACACCGGCTGGACAGTTTCCTGCTGGCTTGATGGATTACACAGGCTGGACTTGGCTTCCTGCTGGCTATCCCACAACATGTGTGACACTGGGAGTAAGGTATTGTTGTTGTGTGACACAGAGAAGGTAGCGTTGTTGTGTGACACAGAGAAGGTGCTGTCATGTGTGACACAGAGAAGGTAGTGTTGTTGTGTGACACAGAGAAGGTGCTGTCATGTGCGACACAGAGAAGGTAGTGTTGTTGTGTGACACAGAGAAGGTTGTGTCGTTGTGTGGCACAGAGAAAGTTGTGTCGTGTGACACGGAGAGATGGTAGTATTGACGGTATCATGAGTGTTTAGTATTTGTAAGTGTGTCGGTGATAAGGACGGGTGACGTGTGACACAGAGTCATGTGACATGAAAGAAGTGTTGTGTAACCCTGTGGAAAAGGTAGTGTCTTGTGACACAGAGAGTATGACATGGAGGAGTATCATGACACAGAGAAAAGGGTGTCATGTAACACAGAAATAAGGTGTGTTATGACATGGAGAAAAAGGTGCCATGTGACACGGAGAGAAGGTGTGTTGTGTGACACGGAGAAAAGGGTGTCTTGTGACACGGACAGGAGTGTCATAACACGGAGAAAAGGTAGTGTCGTGTGACATGGAGGAGAAGGTGTGTCATGACACAGAGATGGGGTAGTGTTGTGTGACACATGGAGGAAGGCAGTGTCATGGGACCCTGAGAGAAAGGTAGTGTCGTGTGACATGGGGAAGGTAGGGTCATGACTATGGACTTTGTTATTGTGACATGTGATAATTATGTACCAAAGAGAAATAATAGATGTTTCTTCGTAAATATTATGTACCAAAGAATATACTCTTATTTTATGCTAAAATAATTTACTAGTAAAGATTTTAAAAGAATAGTGTTTTGTACTCCCGAAGTTCTGGTAATGGGCTAATTGTGAAAGATATCTTAATTCTCTACAGGTTGAGTATTGGTTTTGATTCCCCTAGATATGATATAAGCTTGATTACCAGAAATGTAATACAGTAATTGTAATGGTGAATATAGGAGACAGTAAGGCGATGAGGATAACAAAACAATTAGGTAACGAAAGACTGGATATCCGATTGGGGGAAGGAAGTTTGGAGGAGGTGAATGTATTCAGATATTTAGGGGTGGACATGTCAGCAGTTGGATCTATGAAAGAGGAGGTGAATCATAGACTTGAGGAAAATAAGGTGAGGGGTGCACTTAGGAATCTGTGGAGACAAAGAACTTTGTTCGTGGAAGCAAAGAGGGAAATGTATGAGAGTATAGTTCTACCAATGCTCTTATATGGGTGTGAAGCATGGGTGGTGAATGTTACAACAAGGAGAAGGCTGGAGGCAGTGGAGATGTCATGTCTGAGGGTAATGTGTGGTGTGAATATAATACAGAGAATTCGTAGTTTGGAAATTAGGAGGTGTGGGATTACCAAAACTATTATCCAGAGGGCTGAGGAGGGGTTGCTGAGGTGGTTCGGACATGTAGAGAGGGTGGAACGAAATAGAATGACTTTGCGAGTGTATAAATCTGTAGTGGAGGGAAGGTGGGGTAGGGGTCAGCCTAGGAAAGGTTGGAGGGAGGGGGTAAAGGTGGTTTTGTGTGCAAGGGACTTGGACTTCCAGCAAGCATGCATGAGCATGTTAGATAGGAGCAAATGGAGACAAATGGTTTTTAAGATTTGATGTACTGTTGGAGTGTGAGCAAGGTAACATTTATGAAGGGATTCAGGGAAACTGGCAGGCCGGACTTGAGTCCTGGCGATGGGAAGTACAGTGCCTGCACTCTGAAGAAGGGGTGTTAATGTTGCAGTTTTATAGCTGTAGTGAAAGCATGCCTCTGGCAAGACAGTGATGGAGTGAATGATGATAAAAATTTTTCTTTTTCGGGGCACCCTGCCTTGGTAGGAGATGGCCAATGTGTTAATAATATAAAAAAAGGTCAGAGATTAGCTGTTCTCATCACACTGCATGAGGCACCATTTTTTTGTTATGCACTGCACGGGGAAGGATTTCTTTTCGCGTTGTATATACTCACTGCACAAACCCAGTCTCTTATGTTTAGGATAAAATTTGCTACTCACAGCAAATCTGAGAGTGGTATGATTTGTGTGTACATAAATCAAACTGCTTTCAAATCAAATATATCTACGAGACCGACAGTGAAAGGGTTAACACAGCATTTACCCCAGAAAATACATCCACCATTACTTACTTCCTTTCCAGAAGAGCACAGATAATTTAGTCCAATGGTGGCCCACCAAACAATAAAATTTCTTTTAAGATTTTCAAAGGGTAAGCAATGAACTTCCCACTTTTAATACAAGTCTGGCAAACTGGTTTTCAAAAGATTCTTCACAGATATAGCTACATTCCAACTCCAACAACACATTAAATCTGTAAGATCACTTGTCTGCACTGCAGTCTACTATACTCTAACATACCTGCTGGATGTTCAAGCCCTAACTTCACACTACCTCTTTTCTCATCCTTCTTCCAGTCCTTCCTCACTTGTTCCATATACCTCATTCCATCCAACAAGACATGCACACTCTCTTAATTTAATCAACTAATTTGCAAGCAATGACAGTAAAATTGTATGTGATATCAACAAATGGAGAGCCCAGTATACAAATATTACATTTTTGGATTGTAAAAATACATAGCCTACATTATATAATACAGTACAGAACTGGCATGCAAAAAATTATTATTATAATTAAAGAAAGCGCTAAACCGACAAGGGTCATGCAGCGGCATACAAAAAAAAAAAATACTGTGGAAAGCAGAATTTAAGGGCAGTGAGGTCCAATGTAGGGATTTTCATAGAGCAAATTTGATGAGATGTGCTTTAGAAGACTGAAGTTAGTGTGTTTTAAGGGTTTTTGACACTGGTCTATACATGATAAGCAAAAATTATTAAAAGTAAAAAACCAAACCCTGACATAGTTATTTAACCAATATTTATGCCAGTTTTCACTTTGTACCCATCCAAAGCTTCAAATATCCATATAATTTGCTATATATTCTATATTTTTTGAACACACTACCAGCCATTTATAATTTACTGTGCAACATATGTCAGGCCCATCAAGGAGTATACAGCACCAGTGTAGAACCTACACCTGAGGAGCATGTTAAGAAACTGGTGAGAGTGTAGACGTATGCAACAAGGCATGTTCCAAAGTCAAAACTTTTCATTATAATGACTTTAAAATAAACCAAACATTAAATCAAAGGACTTTCCAGTATTTTATAAAGAATAGTAATCTTTTATATTATGCAAACAAAATATGTAAACTCACAAATAATGGTATGTTTAGCCTTGTTAAATAATTTATCATTTACATACCTGTTCTGTAACTGCTGAGTCTAGGGACAAGACTTTTGTAACGCTTTTCACAAACTCTAACGCTGGAATGCTATGTGGGTCCGTAGATATACTCTGAGTACTCAACTGTGCCTCCTCCCCTTCCTCCTCTCTTCCACGTGTTCCTTTCTTATGGATCTTCTGAGTGATGAAATATAACTTTTGTGCCAATTCTCCTGATACCAGATCTTGGGCATAGTCTTCAAACCCTTTGAGAGCATCTGCAGGTTTTCGACTGATCTGACTCGAAACTTTGCGTTTCATGGGTGTATTACCCGGAGTAAATCGCCCACTTTCTTCCTGCAGTTTCTCAAACACTGCATTCATGTATGAGGCAATGACATTATTGAAGCTACTTTGACAACCACACCATTCAGGAAGATATTCAGCCATATTCCAATTCATTTCAATGACTGAACTATCCTCCTCTTCTACTACTTCACTATTTTCTGTGTTCATTTGCTTTTCTGGATCCTCATCCTCATCATTAGAATCTTTATTTTCATCTTGACTTTTGTTTTCTATCTGAGAAAGGTCCTTGGGTAATTTACCCTTTATGCCACCATGGTTTGCTGGGTCCAGCCACATAAGATATTCCCAACACTGACTAAAAGATATGTCAATAGAGTGAAATAGTTCTTTGCCACGGATGCTGTTTACTATATACTGTACATAAGCAATAGCATCATCCACTCTTCTCTTTTTAGTGCACAAAACAATTTTATTAAAATTGGCAAAAACAATGATGGAACCTAATCGCTTAAATTCAGCAACAAGATGAAGGAACAATTTATGCATGTGTGTGTAAAGGATGCGATGGAGTGCAGGATCATACATCAGTGAGCTTGAGTCACGTAACCATCGGTAGAAATGTATTATCTGAAAGTCTGCAAATACATTCTGGTAGATGGAAACATCACGAAGCCAAGCAGCAACCATCTGCCGGAGGATCCTGAATGCTGGAGCACACCTGGCAGTCTCATCATATGCTGTGAGAGTGGACTCAGCCCCACCCATCATGTCTTGTAAAGAGGCTTGAGGTGCAGCATCAAAGGCCACACTGCTACTTGTTCCCTCCATTTCATTAATGTGATGTGCCTGAAGATAAAAAAAATAATTATTTTTCATTCATGGAAAAGTTGAAATTATCAACTAACTTTTAAATTGTTAACTGTAATTTTTGTGGAAAAAGAGCTCAACCTATAAGGGTCATACAATTCCTAGGGAATAAATGGTAACCAAGTAATTCAGAGAGAAGCTCCAATTCCTCAGATTAACCCCTTGACTGTCGCAACCCCAAATCCTGAGGTGCCTCCTAGTGTTGCAAAATCCCCCCCCCCCCCAAAAAAAAAAAAAAAAAAAAAAAATTCTTATGAAATAAGAGAATCTTTTCCCAGCTGTAATGACACCAAAAGAATGAAATTTGATGGAAAACTGATGGAATTATGCTCTCGCGAAGTTAGCGACCTCAGCGATATTTACGAATCAGCGATTTCGTCCACTTTGAGCCCTGTTTTCGGCTAATTCCATTGTTCCAGTTGACCAAACTCATAGCTATTTCTTTAGAAATCCATTTTTTCTATCGATTGAGTACAAGAAACTGCCCATTTACCGATTTCAACTACCCAATAACATGGTCAGAAATTTGCAATTTGGCCAATTTCACGAATATTAAAAAATATGTCAATTTCAAAATAGGATGCAGAATGAACAATGCAGACATTCCTGGCTCTAAAATAACATTTTCTTTGTTCATCAGTCACATCTCCAGGCCCCTCTGATATTACTCTTGCTTTCTATTTTGAATTTTTATTCAAACAAAAAATAGAAGATTTACTGTTACGCAGACTACTGCAATATTGTAATAATTGTATAAATAAACTCAAACCATTCATGACTGCATATTAAAATGGCTAGTTGGACATTTATTGGACAATGACATCATTTGTTTACTTTTGAACATCGGCAAAAATCAAACATTTCCCTTACTTTGAGCTCCATTTCAAGGTTCTTTTCATAGTAAAACCAATCAAAATCACCTCTATTTCTATATTATGTTTTCCATTCTATCAAATGAGACCAAGAAATGAGAATACAACCATAAATACTATATGAAAATAGACCACAAAGTCGGCATTTTAATTAAAAAAAAAAACTGATTTTTTTTTCTCATTATGCACTGCGCGCTGCAGGATTTTTTTTATGTTGTGCACACACAGACCCATTCTCTCACATGTGGACCTACCAGCTTTCTCCTGCTTGATTTGAAGCCGCTAGAATTTATGAGTACATATACGTCAAAAACGGTGACTCGTAAGACGTATATATACGACCAAAGCAGTCAAAGGGTTAATGCAAATATCTAATCAGCCAATCATGTGACAGCACCTTAATTCAGACATGGTCAAAAGGTTCAGCTGTTGTTCAGACCCAATGTCAGAATGGTAAAGAAATGTGATCATGGAATGATTGTTGGTGCCAGATAGGACAGTTTGAGTATCTCAGAAACTGGTGATCTCTTTAAGATTTTTTTTCCAGCAATATGCAGATGGTAGGGTCAGAATTTGATGTAAACCTGGGAGATGTAGCCAAACGGGAGACTCGCAGCATGGATGTTCAGCCGACAAATCTGCAGTAACTGCGTGATGCTATTGGGTCAACATGGACCAGGATCTCTAAGGAATTTCCAGTACCATGTTAAATCCATGCCACGAAGAATTCAGGCTGTTCTGAAGGTGCTACTGAGTGTCAGAAGGGTGTACCTAATAAAGTGGCCACTGAGTGTATGCTTAACTGACAACAGATACTTTCACTGAAAAATGAAAAAATCTTTAAGAAACATTAACATGCCTACCTGTAAAAGTGTGGTCACTGCTAATGCATCCAAGTCCAGTTCTACACAAACTGCAGAATAGCAACCAGAGTTGTTAACTTGAGCAGTAGAAGCTGTCTCTTCCAATTCTGCCACTAATCGATTGTCATCATGTTCGTGCCCACCTAAGTCTGGTCTTGGACCAGGTGAACACCACACAATAGCATTATGTTTCTGCAGGTGCCGCACATAGAACAGGTCAGCACCAAAGGCAGTCGCATCACGAGGTAGGTTTCCAACAGGCACATGGAAATAACGACTCTGCTCCATTGCAGTATGTAATAACTGTTTCAGTTCAATAAAATGCTTTATCATTACTCTAGCGCCCACTCGTTGCCAGTCTAGGACATTATACAATGTATCTACATCAGTAATATGAATAGGCACTTGAGGAAATTCTCCTAAGCCTGGCATGAGAGCAGTTATGGTTGGTAGATCGTGCGGAGACTGAATGGCTAGAAAAGTTGGACCTCTTTTCTCATCTCGATATCCTTGTAGAACACGCTGAATTTGACGGTAAACTTGCCTTAATTCAGTTTCAAATTTAATCTCAAATGTAAAGTTTGATTCTGGCAGTGAGGCTTCATCACATCCTTTGGCAATTTTGGCATTTCTCTCGGCATTATAGAGATTATTAACGTTAGGCATCTGGTTACTTCGCACTGTATCCAACACAAAAATGTGTGCCTTCTTACTCTGGTAGAAAAAGATAGAAAACATAACTTTGTTGCCACTACGATGATGGTAAATATATATGTGGGAGAGGCTGCCTTCCTCTAAATACTGGAACTGGGCTACAGTCTTGAATTTCAACTGACCCAATTCAAATGTGTCTGTATCAGATCGTGCTATTGTTTTGTCAACCACACACACACATCCAAGTTGAGCAATAGCCCTAAACTCCAGAGGTACCTGTAAAAAGTGACTTAATTAACTAAGCATACACAAAGATTTTATAATAAATGTTTAATATATTATTAATTACATTTGGCTTCCACAAAAAAAAAAAAGGTACTGCATAAATATGACTGCAGGAAATAAAGTTGTACAGTGCTCATCACAAACCTGTGTTTCATAAATCCCTTCTATATCAGGAGTAGACAGATCAGCCATAAGCTCATTGCTATTCTCACGAAATACTTCTTCTGGAACTGTGTACTCATACAGGTTATATACTGGATGTGAACGAGGAAGGGTTTTGTTTGCCTTGCGCCATACTCCACTTGTCTCAGTCTCTGATTTAGGAACTCTTTGATTGACATAAAACACACGTGGGACAATTAATTTGATGAGATGAAGATCATGGCCAACCAAAGCCCATAGTTTGTACAGTCCTGGTGTATTTGTTTCTGCAAGCTAGACAAAAATATTTCATCAACACTGTAGCTTTATGTTAATACATCTCAAAACACTTACAGTATTCCTATATCTGTTTTTTAGAATTATTTTAAGTGTGAATAAAGCCAATTAGTATAAACTACTAAATTAAAAAAAAAAACTTTTGTTTCTTCTTTTTTGGGTTACCCTGCCTTGACAGGATATGGTCAGTGTGTTAAAAAAAAATAAACCTAATAATCAAGATTTTTACATATTACCTATTCCCACTAATACTAGATGACCCAAAGAAGGAACATACACTCACCAAAACTCATTCCCTAGCTGTCTTTTCAGAAGTACAGGAACATCATTATTAAAATGACATACTGAACTGCATCATCCCCACCAATATTTCAAAAATCACACTTACTACCTCAAGAACTCTAGTCTTGTTAACAGGTTTTCCCTGTATCTCGTCACAGATACAGCATGGCTCACTCTTTACAGCTTGTCAAGCCCCAAAGAACTTTCCCATTCACTCTGATCTACTGCTCTCACATGTGACAGCTAGATTTTCCAGCCCTTATCTCTCAAAACAATCTTCAAGCTCTTTCCAACCTTTCATGGAATGTTCCTTACACACCTTTCACTCATCCCAGATTTATACATGCTTTTGATTAACCTATCTTGCTCCATTCTTTCTAAATGGCCATATCATCTTAAGATCCCTCATTCTATTTAAGTAAATAGGCAAATAAGTGAATGTTATGAATATTTCATTTAGGCTATATTTTACTCATCAGAAACAAGTGAAACATAACCTACATGAAATACAGTGGAATCTTGACTTACGAGTTTAATCCATTTCGTGACCTAGCTCGTGACTCAATTTACTTGTATATCAAATTAATTTTCCTCATTTAAATTAATTGAAAAGCCATTAATCCATTCCTGCACTCTGGAGGCTAAGAAAAAAATACTTGAATTTGGCGCTATTATCAACTGTACGGCTTATTTATCTATCACAATTCATCTAATATGACATAATAAACAATATAATTAACAAAGAAACATGATATATATTCTAGAATGAATAAAATAGGCCATAATATGGTGGCAGAGGCAGCGGCGGAAGCGTCCGCCATTTCTGTCCAACTTTGACTATAGTATCTTCCCATGCTCTTACTGTAAAAGAAAACAGTATTTTTGAGGCTAACTGCAGTGGATTACTAGTTTTCTAAGGAAAACACTGAAACAATGTATTTATAAATAAGAAATATTGTATAAGAACTGTTTATATAAAGTGTATATGTAGTTACACACTTGGAGCAGAGATAGCGGGAGAGGTTGAGGGAGGTTGAGGGTAAGGGATGTTGAGGGTGGGGGGATGTTGAGGGTAGGGGGATGTTGAGGGTAGGGGGATGTTGAGGGTGGGGAATGTTGAGGGTGGGGAATGTTGAGGGTGGGGGATGTTGAGAGTGGGGGATGTTGAGGGTGCAGTGTATGATGTATTGCCTGGTTAAGTCCATAAGAAATAAGGAACACTGCAACAGGCCTACTGACCCATGCAGAGCAGGTCCATGTCCCTCCCCCCCCAGATTAGCCCAATGACCTCCAACTCTGGTCACTTCCACTTAACCCTTTCAGGGTTTCGGACATACTAGTACGGCTTACGCACCAGGGTTTTTGACGTACTAGTACGCCTAAATTCTAGCGCCCTCAAATCTAGTGAGAGAAAGCTGGTAGGCCTACATATTAAAGAATGGGTCTATGTGGTCAGTGTGCACATTATAAAAAAATCCTGCAGCACACAGTGCGTAACGAGAAAAAAAACTGTGTTTTTGGATTAAAACAGCGAATTTGCACTGTATTTTCGTATGGTATTTATTGTTGTATTCTAGTTTTCCTGGTCTCATTTCATAGAATGGAAGACATATCACAGAAATTGAGATGATTTGGACTGGTTTCACAATGAGAAGTACCTTGAAATTGAGCTCAAAGTAGCAGAAATCTTCGATTTTTACCAAAGTTCAAAAGTAAACAAATCATGCTAAGCGTCCAATACACGTCAACTGGTGAGTCTGATATTCTTTCACAAGTGCGCCGATATTATTTATACCATTTCTACACTAATGCAGTAGTCTGCATAACAGTAAATCTTCTATTTTTTTGTGAGAAAAAAAATTCAAAGTGGAAAGCAAAAGAATGTAAGAGGGGCATGGGGACATAACTAATGAACAGAGGAAATGTTATTTTAGTGCCAGGAATGTCTTTCTTGTTTATTCTGGACCCCATTTGGAAATTGGCATCTTTTGAAATTTGTGTGAAATTGGCAGAATTGCTAAATTCTGACCACTGTATTGGATAGTTGAAATCAGTAAATGGGTGGTTTCTTGTACCCATTCGATAGAAAAAATGGCGTTCTAGCAAAATAGTTATGATTTTTGTCGACTAGTACACTGGAATTGGCCGAAAATAGGGCTCAAAGTGGGCAAAATCGCCTATGCGTAAGCATCGTTGAGACCACTAACTTCGCGAAGCATAATTCTGTAAGTTTTCCACCAAATTTCATACTTTTGGTGTCATTATGATCGGGAAAAGATTCTCTATCTTTTCATAAGAAAAAATAATTTTTTTTTTTAAATTTGGGCGACCCTGAGAACAAGTCTGGGAGAGGGCCTGGGACCTAGTAGCACAAGCTACTCAGGTCCAACTCACACCCACCCACACCCACTCATGTATTTATCTAACCTAATTTTAAAACTACACAATGTTTTAGCCTCTATAACTGTACTCGGGAGTTTGTTCCACTCATCCACAACTCTATTACTAAACCAGTGCTTTCCTATATCTTTCCTGAATCTGAATTTTTCCAACTTGAAACCATTGCTGCGAGTCCTGTCTTGGCTGGAAATTTTCAGCCCCTTTATTTATTCCTGTTTTCCATTTATACACCTCGATCATATCCTCCCATATTCTACGCCTTTCGAGAGAGTGCAGATTCAGGGCCTTCAGTCTATTCTCATAGGGAAGATTTCTGATACATGGGATCAACTTTGTCATCCTCCTCTGTATGTTTTCCAGAGCATTTACAACCATTCTGTAATATGGTGACCAGAACTGTGCAGCATAATCTAAATGAGGCCTAACCAAGGATATATAGAGTTGAAGAACAACCTGAGGACTTCTATTATTTATACTTCTAGATATGAAGCCAAGAATTCTGTTCGCTTTATTGCGAACACTAATGCACTGTTGTCTTGGTTTTAGATTACTGCTAACCAGAACTCCTAAATCCTTTTTGCAATCAGTAATATTAAGATCTACATTCTTTAGTTTATATGTGGCATGGTTATTTTCCTGTCCAACATTTAGAACTTTGCATTTGTCTATATAAAACTGCATCTGCCACTTCTCCGACCATTGCATCAGTCTATTCAAATCATCCTGGAGTGCTCTAGTGTCCTCATTTGAATGAATTAGACGGCCTATTTTGGTGTCATCAGCAAATTTACTTATGTTGCTATTTATTCCCTCATCTATGTCGTTTATGTAAATTGTGAACAACAACGGGCCCAACACTGACCCCTGAGGAACCCCGCTTGTGACGTGCCCCCATTCTGATTTCTCCCCATGTATGCAAACTCTCTGCTGCCTATTTGTCATCCATGCCTCTACCCAGGAAAAAATTTCTCCTATTTCGTGTGCCTTAAGTTTCCTCAATAGCCTCTGATGTGGAACTCTATCGAAAGCCTTACTGAAGTCCATATACACAATATCATATTCATTACCATGATCTACCTCCTCAAACACCTTAGTGAAAAAAGTTAGTAAATTCGTAAGACAGGAATGTCCCTTTGTAAAACCATGTTGAGATTCATTAATCAAACTATGCCTATCAAGATGGCTACGAATTGCTTCGGCAATTACTGATTCCATAAACTTTCCCACAATGGAGGTCAAGGCTTATTGATCTATAGTTCGAAGCCAAGGACCTGTCACCTGCCTTGTAAATAGGTATTACATTTGCCATTTTCCACTATCAGGCACTATGCCAGTTTGTAGTGATATGTTAAAAAGATTAGCCAAAGGTATGCTAAGTTCCTCTTTACATTCCTTTAACACCCTTGCAAACAGTTCATCAGGGCCTGGGGATTTGTTAGGTTTTAGTTGCTCTATTTGTCTGAGGACCATGTCACTAGTTACCGCAATTGTGCATAGTTTATTATCGTCCTGTTCTACATAATCTATTATTTCAGGAATTTCGCCAGTATTTTCCTGGGTAAAAACTGAGAGGAAGTAGGTACTGAAAATTTCACTCTTAAGTGGGCCTATCTTAATCTTACTTCTGTATAACCGAAAGAACCCTTTTGGGTTAGTCTTCGAATCCCTTGCAATTTTAGCCTCATAATCCCTTTTTGCTTTTCTTATTCCTTTCTTTATTTCTTTCTTTAATTGAATATATTGATTTCTTAACTGCCCATCCCCTCTTTTGATATACCTATATATGCCTCTCTTTTGACCAATGAGATGTTTTAATCTATTGTTCATCCATTTGGGATCATTTTTGTTAGATCTAATTTCCCTACTCGGAACAAAAGTTGTCTGGGCAGCTAGAACTATGCTCTGAAAAACGTCATATTGGCAACCAAGATTACCTACCTGACCCATAGTCAGGACATCTCAATTTAGCCCACCCAGGTAATTTTTCAGTCCCATGAAATCGGCCAAACGAAAATCTGGGACAGAAATTTGATTGCAGTTATCTGGGTAATTCCATGATATATTGAAACTAAGTGATGACAGAAATTTGATTGCAGTTATCTGGGTAATTCCATGATATATTGAAACTAAGTGATTTGTGATCACTTTCCCCAAGCTCATCATTAACCTCAAGATTATTAATTAGTGACTCTTTGTTGGCAAGAACCAAGTCAAGCAGATTGTTTCCTCTAGTTGGTTCTGTCACAAACTGTTCTAAAAAGTAATCCTGAACCGTATCAAGAAAGTCACTAGACTCGAGATTTCCTGTCATTATG